GACAACTTGTGCACCTTCTCTGTAGAAAGGTCTATTTAAATTATTTTCCCATCTTTAGATTGAGTGTATTATTTGTTGCATCACAAGAATTCTTTTTTTTTTTTTTCGGAACTGGGGATTGAACTCAGGCCCTTGCACTTGCCAGGGAAGTGCTTATTCTACTGAGCCATCTCCCCAGCCACAACGAGAATTCTTTAGGGGCTGGCAGGATAGCTCAGTAGACTAAAGCACCTGCTTTGGCAAGCTTAGGCAAGCACAGGGACCGTGGTTTGATCCCCAGTATCACATACTCTGCCAGCCCCAGCCCCAGGGCAGGCTGAGCCAGTCATAGAATCTGGGCATGGTGGCATGCATGTACGTGTAATCCCAGCACTGGGGAGGCTGAAAACAGGAGGATCACTATAAGTCTGAGCTGTGTAGTGAGTCCCTGTAACAACCAAATACATTTTTTTTAAAAAAAGAATTCTTTAAAAAATAAGAATTCTTCTGGTATTACAGATACCAGACCTTTATCAGATATATGATTTGCAAACTTTTTACATTCTATAGGTTGTCACTTCTCTTTTTTTGTAATGTCCTTTGATACCAAATTATCTTAGTTTTATTGCTTATGCTTTTTTTCTTTCTCTTTTGTGGTACTAAGAATCAATTGCCAAATCCAAAGACATGATGATTTGTCTCGGGTTTTCTTTGAAGAGTTTTATTCTTTCAGATCTTACACTTAGGTCTTTGATCCATTTTGATTGAATTTTTGCATTTAATGTGAGGTAGGGGTTCACCTTCAATCTTTTGCATGTGGATGTCCATTGTTCTAGGACATTTGTTCAAGAAACTGCTCTTTCTCCATTTTAGATCTTAGTACCTTTGTCAAAAATCAAGTAAGAACAGTTGTATAGGTTTATCTCCAAATTTTCCATATCATTATGATCAGTGATCTCCAGAGCAAAGTGGGCTTTTGTTGATGATCTTTCTCAATAGGTACAATAATGGTCCTTTCTTTTCTTTTTTCTAATTTCTTTTTTCTCCATAATTTTATTGAGAAACAAATAGCAATGAGACAGTTTCAAACCAAATTGGTATGACAGTTTCAATAATTAACACATTGCATACATCCTTCCTAGTGGTTAATTGCTGTACAAGATGTGGACTTGATATCCTATTTACAAACACCATTAGAACAAATCCCTCTATTCATTAGGAGAACGTAACTATATATCTATCCTAACCATTTTGAATACACAAATACAAAATGGACATTCATCTGTATACCCTTTTTTTGTTAAGTTCCATCATTTAAATATTATAGGTGTGTAAACTCAGCAAAATATTCCAAGGAGATTATGGGGCCAAAGAGGAAAGTGATCGATGATGTAGAGTGTGCCTAAGGAGAGTCACATGGACAGAAAACACTCTCTCAGGCTTTCACAGAGAGCACATTGGCCAAGCAATGGCTGTGACTCATCCACTTATCTGACACTGACAAAGGTTCTACAATCTGAGGTACAGGATCTCAGGATAAATCCTGAGGGAATTTCACTGACCTTATCAGACCCAAAAGCTACAACTCTTGTTGCATAGTTCCTGCTTTTCCTTGGTCTTAACCATCCAGCAGAAAAGTATAAAAACGCAGTATAAGAAGTAAAGCCGTGGTGTTATGTTGAGCTGTAGGGGACTCAGGTCAACAATTTCTGACACTGCCAGTGAAGCGGAAGACCCAATACTATTATGGACTACTTAACTCTTTTATTTTCTATGAAGTGCTTTTGCGCATTTGTTTTTTCCAGTCTTCATAATTACCATCTTGTTTGGTGATTACTGTCCCCATTTAACAGATAAGGAAACAGGCCTACAGAGTTCCAGTGACTAGCCCCGATGTAAATAGCGGAACTGTGACTGGAGCTCAGATCTAATGAATGCCAAAGCCTTTGCTCTTCCTACTCTCTTCTTGCTTCCCTAAGTTTTGGTTAGGCCTTTCTGCTTCTACAACTGTTGTAATGAAATTAAATCCTTTTATTTAGTTGCTTTACTCTAAAAATCTAGAGTAAGTCATTTCCAACTGTTCAGAGCTTCTTTCACAGTAAAGGTAGGGAGTGAGGGAAGTATCAAGCATTATCAGATGTCAGGTCTAGGAATGCTATCAAGGGCCACTGGGGAAAATGCAAGATGAAAACCAAGATCGGGGGAAGGATATTTGATTCATGGGGTGACAGACCACTAGTGGGAGTAAAAGAAGGGGCCACCAAGAAAGGACTATTACCTATATCACTTCAATACAATGAGATGACATAGAAAGTCTTAGAACATTAACCAGGTGAGCCTAAATAGATCCTGGGCCTACACCCAAATGTCGTTGATGACTTATGTGCCTCCTCCCCAAGTGGAGTGCCCTGTGGTTAGCAGGGAGACCTAGGGGTACTTGCTGATGGGGGCCATTTCCAGGGAGTGAGAATAGGAGCCAAGAGCTGTAAGCTGATGGTCTTCAATAGACTTGCCTAAAAGCCACAATTTCCAGAGTTGTGGGATCCTGGGAATAAAAAGAATATCTTTATTCCCTGACCAGAGGTGCTTGGCAAAAAGGGTCTTAAAGAAACATTTAATGAAGTGTTTGTTTACTGAAGATATGAGGATTTAAGGTTTGTCTTTAAATTGTGAATGTATCTTGCCATATTCTCCTAACTGATGTCTCTGGTTTGGAGTAAACTAGAGGAATGAAAGTGGAAGTCCTCCCAAAGTCCCCAGTCATCGTTCCGGAATAGACTCAGTTTTGTCCAAGCAAGATTTCTTGCACCATTTCCTGCTCTACCTAGTAACATTTCCTTTCACAGGAGCTCAGAAAGCAGCTGATCAATGGTGAGGGTCTCACAATTTGAGCCCCAGAAGTTTAACAAAAAATATCCATGTGCACATTGGCTGTGTACAATATCACATGTGCACACAAATACAGACAGAGTTCAAATCTGTTGTAAAATCAGCATTATCGATTTACAACATAAACAGCCTAATCTTTTCAGCTATCTATTTTGCTCTATCTTTCCCCAACACTTCACCCTCTGCTTGACTTACTCTTCCTCTTTCTCTTTTGCCCTTTCCATCCTTAATTCTTTTCTCTTCAGTTGCTTGCCTATGTTCATTCAATCTCTCTCTCTCTCTTTTTTTTTCAAATATGATCCTGGACCCCTAGCATCAAAGAAAATGTACAACTTTTTAAGATATACTTTACACTGCATGATTATTTTTCCATAATTAGGCTTAGTGCATTTGGATGAAAGAGCTGGTTTCATTTTGCAAGAGGGAGGCGGTTATTGTTTTTTAAAAATCTTATTTATTTATTTATTTATTTGGTATAGGGTTTTACTATGCAGCTCAGACTCACAGTGATCCTCCTGTCTCAGCCTCCCCAGTGCTAGGACTACAGGCATGTACCACTGTGCCCGCTTTGGGGGCTGATGAAGTGCACCTGGTGTTCCGGGGCTAGCACAGCATGCAGTACTGGGGATTGAACCCCAGTCTTTACGCTTGCCAGGCAGGAGCTTAGACTAGGCAGTTATGTTTTTAATGAACAAATGATCAAAGGAACATAAATTCTGGTCCTTCTCCAGGGGTTAAACTTAGAATTTTGGTGAAAATATAAGGCCATTTCTAAATGTTCTTCCTGTGAAAGAGAGCTAGTCCTGTGTAAAGAGATCCCAGCCCTCTCCCATATACTAGAAAGGCTAGCAAACATTTCTCTAGTTGTCTGAGCTGCAATTGTAATGACTGAGGTTTGTAGCTCTTCAAACAGTAACCCACTGCAAAGAAGAGAGCAACAGAACTGTGTTGAAACTTGCTATAAGGTAATTTCTTGTGCCAACACCCTAACACAGTTGCTGTGCCACTGCCAAAGCCTGCCCACATGTTTTCAGTACTTAAGAGGAAGCTTCTGCTTTGTTAATGTGGCGTAGTTATGTACCAGAAAGAAGACACGTTGATGTTTCAGACCGCTCTCAATTATCCACGTGAATGGAGGAGCAGTCAATGATATGGGAAATGTAAAATACATTTATCCCACACTTTGACGTATGTAGTACAAGGCATAGTACTGCAGTACTTGGAAGCCAATGAGCAGTGACACTTTCCACTAGAGTGCACTTGGCCCTGTTGAGAGCAGGATCTCCATCCTGGGCAAGATTGGCTTTAAGCCTCTATGGACTAGGTGTACCACCAAGGTATAAAAATGATAAAAGTTATTTCTTCACTGTTTGCAAAAATAGGAGGGGAGATATGTTCACTTAGCATTTCATGGTTTCTGTTTACTGCTAGCCATGCACAATTGATAAGCAATGAATATGTTTCTTGCTTTCTAGAAAACTCTCTAGTAAGTTGGAGAAGAATCCTCATAACTTGTACAAACAGTTTTGTGACTGAATGCATTCTGTCAAAGCAAGAGCAGTAGTCTGTTCAGCTTTGTCTATTTAATATTTTATGTTTTGAGTCTTATTTTTTGTCCTTTATAAACCATCATATAAATAATTTCCATTTTTCTATAGGATTGAATTTTGAGAATTAAAAAATTTGGGGGAATAATATAATGAATACTAGCTATGAAAACTCTTGCATATATAGTAGAGAGTTAATAGCCCCATTTTCTTAATATGACTCTTTTCCCCAGAGAACCGCAATTAGTAGTTTGTTGGGAATCCATCCAGATTAATTTCTTTTCATTTACATGTAATTGTGTATGTTTGCATATGTGTGTTATATAAAAATATAATATATATATTTATGTAATTATTTGAGGCATTTTTCACATAATCTGGATTCATGCTGTATCAGTTTAACACAATGGCTCTTAAAGAATTAACAACATACTCTGCACAATTTTCTGTTACTAAATAAAGGTTTATATCATTGTTTATCAATACCATCATGAATACTGGTTAGTGTAGATGTGCCACAGTTTATTTGACTGTTCTCCTAGGCTGAGTATTTAAGTTGTTTCTAATTTGTGTTATTTTCTGCAGAATCCTACCCTTCCAGCACTGAACTGTTCTGTTGAAAATGCTCATCCTACTGTTTCTTACTATGCTCGTCCTCAAGTGACATCGTACAACACCTACTACCACAGTCCGCCACATCTGCCACCTTACTCTGCTTATGACTTCCAGGTATGTTTAGAGAGACAAAGAACTCTACTCTTCTGGCCTTCACTTGGGGTCTCTTGATCTCTCCCTCAATTCAGTGATTGTATTGCCCTATTGTTTTCATAATAAGGATGAGGTAGCTAGGCTCGCTCTCTATCCCTGACAGCCTTTAACAGCCTGTGGGTACCAGTGAATGGATTAAGGATGACATAGGTGGGCAATGATAGATGTGTAAGTTTGGGAATAGCACAAGAGAGGAAGAAACAGAGAATGCATTCTGAGTTACACAAATATTTAAATCAATCTGGCAATAAGGGAGTCCCTTTATTTTCTTCAGGTTTCCTAAGACAACATAGAAAAGTTATTTTTATAACACCCTTCCTCCTTTTGCCCTATTATCACATAGTTCAGAAATAGTGATACCAAATTTGCACTTTTCCTTTTCCTTTTGAGCTGAGACTAAGTGCAGAAAAACAGAACCAAAACAGGCATATAATTAAAATTAGGGATTCACTATGTGCAGGACACTGACCTAGGCACTTTGGGAGAACAAATAAAATGGTCCTTTAGGTATGTGCAATGACTGTCAGCTTTCCTTCACTATGACAAATCACCTGAAATAAATAATTTAAGAGGAGGAAAGGCTTATTTTGGCCCACAGTTTCAGAGGTTTCGGGCCATGGTCACTTAGCCCTGTTGCCTGGGGCCTGTAGTAGGATGGTACATCACGGCAGGAATACAGGGTGCATGAGGCTTGTTCATCTCATGGAATCCAGGATGTGACAAAGACAAACAGGAAGAGTTGAGGGTCCCAACATCCCCTTCAAGGGCAAATGCCCAGTGATTAACCTTTTAGCAGGCCCACCTCTTCTAGGTTCTACCACTTGCCAGCCATGGGCTGGGTACCAAGCCTGCAATATCTGAGTCACTGGGGTACATTCAAAATTATACCAAAGATTATAAACCTTTGACCACAGAAGAGTGGGGTTACACCAAAATCTGGTTGATTTAGCTGGGTGCAGCAGCACACCTGTAATTCCAGCACTCTGGGAGGCTGAGGCAGGAAGATTACGAGTTCAAGTATAGCCTGAGCAATTTAGTGACTTAGCAAGACCTTGTCTCAAAGTAAATAAAATAAAATAAAATAAAATAAAATAAAATAAAATTCTGGGGCTATAGTTCAATGCAAGGGCTTTGGGTTCAAACTCCAGTAAAAATAAAATAAAGTAAAGTAAAATAAAATAAAATAAATCTGGTTAATTGAAAATTTGAGGAACATAGGAAAAACCTTTTAAGGGAGAGGAATGTATAATGAATTTGTTTCTGTTGATTAGGAACCTATGAATGCTCCAAGAGAACATAAAAACATGACTGCTTTGGGTACTTGCAGTTAACCAGCCTATTTAGCAGTAAAAAACACTTTGGGCAGATCAGTTTAGCTTCATTTTAACAAAATTACTGAAACTTAAAAATCCCATGAAATTGAATGAAGTGTAGTTGCATTTGGTCTAAATATTGTTTGAGAGGTCTAGGGCTTTATAATGCATTGACACATATGGTATACACATGGACTTGCTCACTTCTATAAAATACAGTAGTAATACAAGGAGATTTCATTAAACCTTAGAAAAAAACAATGCTAAAATGTGTCTTAAGGCCTACAGTTTACACAGATCCCTTGAGTAATTTGTTACCCAAATAGTATAGGATGGAAAATATAAATATGTTTAAGAAGAGCACAGATAAATTCAAGACTGATAGAGGTAATAAGACGTCCTTTAAGAGAATTCAGACATGTTGAAGCTAACATAAGACGGGCCTCCGTTCATTCTCTTGGGACCCCTATAGTAAAAACAAAACAAAACAAAACAAAACAAAACTTCTTGGCATAGAGGGGTTGTATATGTGTCTAACCCCAAAGGCCTTCTTTATTTTTATATTTTGTGAGATAAGGTCTTACTGTATTGCTCAAGCTGGTCTCAAAGTTGTAGGCTCTAGACCAAGGTATGGAGGCACATGCTTATAATCCCAGCACTCAGGAGGCTGAGGCAGGAGAATCACCATGAGTTTGAGGCCTGAGCTACAGAGTGAGTCCAAGGCAAGAACTACAAAGTGAGACCCTGTCTCAAAACAAAATAAAACAAACCCTGGTGGGCTTTAGCAAACCTCCCATCTCAGCTTTCTGAATAGCTGGGACTACAGACATGTTCCAGGTCTGGTTTCCTCTTCCATTTTATATCAATATAAGTTACATTGCTATTAGAAATTTATACTTTGTAAAGAACCCCATGTATAGGGGCGACAATTTCTTTGGTTGCCACAACTGTAAGGAAACCCTTCTTTAGCATATAGAGCCATGTTTCTCTCCATCCTTCCTTATTCAAATTCTACCCCAGGAATACAATTGAGATTAACAATGTTAACCAATGATACAGGCTTTTGGTTTCAGTTCAATTAACACTTTATGTTTCCATGTGCCGGGCACTTCACTAGGAGTTGTAGATACAGAGGTTGATTAAGACAGTCGCTGTATTAAGAGATTTGTCTAGGGATGTGGGTGGGGCAGGGGACAGCAGTGTTAGCAAAGAAACTAAAAAAACAACAAATAAAAACCTACTCAGGGTGCTATAAAAACAAGGTACCTAATCCAGACAGAAATCCAGCTTTAGTCATATAGTCTAATCCTATACATTGGAAGTAGATCAGGCACTTCAGGGACTGCAGATGCCTGTACTTTTTAATGATATGTACTATTCATTGAGTACTAACTATGTACCAGGCAATGTGCCAAGTGCGTCCCATCTATCATCATTCAGTCACTTAGTCCTTTGAGAGAAGTCACTTCCCCTTTTAAAATGCAGACTGAATTGTGGAGAGATTAAGCAACTTTCCCAAAATCAGAGGTGGTAAGAAGCTATAGTAAGAGGAGGTAATAGTCCAAATTCTACAGACCATTAAGCATCATTTTCTACTTCTGCTGGAGAATTAAACTCAGTGTAGCTTTATATAAACCCTAAAAGTTCTCAGACATACTCCCCACTTTAAGCGTAGTCTGCTCCTTTTCCTGTATGTTTGGTGAATTGCCAAATTTAAGCTTAAAAGTCTCAGCCTGTGCAGAATGAAAGAACTTCTGATTATGTTTTTATTAAGCTTTTGAAGGTACATTATGTTTCACCCAGACCACTAAAAATGACTCATTATAAATTGAGCCCATTTAATAAAAGGATTGCTTGATCCCGGGTTGCTGGGAGCCCCTGAATGCTGTTGCTGCTGTCATTCAGCTGTTTCTTTTTTCTCCTCCCTTGCCAAGCTTTTCCTTTTTTCTCCTCTCCATTGTTCCTGTCCCTCCTTTTTCTCTCTTTTTTATGTGCTCTTCTTTTACCTCTTCAGCTTTGGCTTTCTGGGGTAGAATATAGAACAAATGCAAAGAAACAACACATCCTGGATTTTACCCTTGGGGCCCAGTTTCTAGCTAGTCATTGTCCCCAGCCAGGAGCAGGGCTCCTTTTGCAGTCACTGCTTTACAATGCTTCTGAAGAGAGAAGTGCACATTGACTTTAATGACTGCAGGTTAGTCTTCGGTCTCTTTGGGCAGAGAGGAGGGAGGCCAGTGTGGAAGAGGAAAGCCATCTGTGTCCCTGAAGGGTGGTGCCCCCTCTTAGCACCATCAACCTGCAGGCCACCCTGAACTCTGAGAAGCAGTGCAGGAAGTAGAGCTAACTAGACACAGTTGTGGACTACTCACATGCCCTCCTAGCTGTGTGGTATGCAAGGATTCAAAGCTATGTTCTGAACTACCCGTCATGTTAATGAAGTCAAACTCCCATATTGGAACTAGAGTACACCAGACCAGCCACCTAGTCATGACAAAGTCAAATATTTCTCAAGGTTCCTGTCTGTTGCAAGAAAATTATGCACTGGTACTGTGGGCATTCTCCCTCCTAACCTCCAGAGATGTGTGGAATACAGCTAGTTTGCTATTTAACTCTGCCAAGAACCCTTCAATTTTATCCTTAAGACTTCCAGTTTTATGCTCAAAGGGAGGTAACAATCACCGCCTTTTCTTTTCCCTTTAATACCTGTCAAACACAAAACTGAGAAGTGAAAAGCTAAGGGCTGTTGTACCCCCTTCTATTATCAAAGTGTACAACTGCCACCCACAGCAGCTGTTGCCCACAGTAGCCTTTTAATGCCCTTCAGCACAGAACTGCCTTTAGTTCTACTGCTGAAAACCTGTCCCTCCTTTCTGCAGTTGGGAACACCTAGAACTGGCCTGATGCCTCTCATTATCCCTGTAGTGAGATTTGGGGCAGTGTGCTGTGTGTCACATACTTGGGCATGGAGATTCTTGGCCTTCAAAAATCTTCTTTTCCTCTATGGTTAAGAAGAAGGAATTATTTTTTATATTTTAATAATTTTATTGAGAAAGAAGTAGCAATGAGATAGTTTCAAAACAGGTTATAGTACAGTTACAATAATTAATACACTGCATATTGTTCTTTTTGTAGTAGTTGTTCCTAGTACAAGATGCAGACATGATATCTTGTTTAAACACTATTAGTTCAAAACCTTCCCATTGAACTAAGAGAAAGTAGCTGTATATTTATGCTATTTTGTACACACACACACACACACACACACACACACACATATATATATATTTTTTTTCCCACTACAAAATGGTCCATTTATATCCCCTTTTTTGTTTAGTTTTGTCAGAGATAGGTATTCCATTTCCATTCAAATATCTTAGGTGTGAAAATTCAGCAAAATAATCCAATATAGTGCAGTAGTCCATAATAGTAGTGAGTTATCCATAGGACTGACAATGTCAGAAGTTGTTGACTTGAGCCTTTTACAGCTCAGCATGTTAATATGGCTTTACTTTTTATACTTCGTGTTTATACCTTACTGCTGGATGGTTAAGACCAAGATAAAGCAAGACCTATATAACAAGAAATGTAACTTTTGTATCTGACAAGGTCAGTCAAAACCCCTCAGGATTTACCCTGAAATCCTATACCACAGTTTGTAGATCCTTTGTCAGTGTCAGCCATGTGGATGAGTCACGCCCATTGCTTGGCCAATGTGTTCTCTATGAAAGCCTGAGAGCATGTTTTCTCTCCATGTGACTCTCCTTAGGAACTCTACATCATCGATCACTTTCCTCTTTGGCCCCATAATCTCCTTGATCAGAAAATTTGGGACACGACTGAGTTACATGATGTTACAGTACAGGTTCTCCTATGTCCTGAGTAAGAGGAGGGAATTATTGAGGAAAGAAAACAAAAGATGGAAAGGAAGAGAAAGGGAGAATTTGGGGGATGCTGGGTGGAAATTTAGGAAATCAGTATATAGCCATGTGCTACTTAATGATGTTTCAGTCAATGAGATACTATATACAACAGTGATGACATAAGATTATGTCATCTAGTGACACTATAGCTGTCTTAGTTTGTGTGGATATGCTCTGTGATGTTTGCACAATAAATTGCCTAATAATGTATTTCTCAGAACGAATCACAGAAAGTGTTTCAAGAAACCAGTTTTAAGTTCTTTATTATTCCTGAAGTTCCCTCCAACCTTCAGATCTTACTCTAGCCTTATCCCATTATGAGAGCAAGGCAGTAGCACCTACGTGGTAGTTCTGTATCTTGAGAATGGATTTTTATTTTTAGAAAGCATGCCAAGTTTATCTTACATACTACTGAAGTTTTCTTCATGTGTTCAAGATTTACCGACTATTTGCCATGCACTGTTCTAAATGGCAGTGAACAATACAGACCATTCTTGAGCAGAAAAATCACTATGAGAGGGGAAAATATGAATGTAAATTCATCCAATGTTTAAAAAAGTCCCTATCTGCTCCTTTCCTAAAGTTAAGACAGCACAAAGCAAGACTGAATTCTCACTCTGCAACCTGCCACATTGCTTTTTCTTACCACTGATATTCTTACCTCTACATCTTCATTACACTCTGCTCTTCAACCTTCCCTAAACATGCTAGTAGTAGAGGTGAGGGTTAGTTCAGAAATAGAAATGATAGGTTTAGTCAGAAGACTCCAGATCCAACCAAGCCATCTAACTTCTCTGGCTTCATTGTTTTGTCTACGAGATCTGCTCATGACCACTACACTGCTTCCCTATGACATATTTTCAGAGAAAAGACCTTCCTAGGGATCAAAAGCTTAACCTCCTTAAATGTTCTTAAGATCACATCTACTTTTATGAAGAATAGTTGGGATTGAAGGCACAGGTTATAAACACAGAAAATGAGTGTTGTTTTCAACAGATTAGAAGCAAAAAGATTCAGTAATGGACAAGATGCATCATTCAAGGGAAGAGGATTCTCAGACATCTACATGAGGTTTGCAACCTGAGTGATGGAGAGGTGGGACCACCTAGTCCGTGTCCCTCATTAACATTGAAAGTTTAGGAACTCTGTCATTCCAAGTGGAAGCAAACCTGATCTGTATTCCTTTTTATGTAGTAATGATTACTCGGGAAATCGCCAACTCACTGCCTAAGCTGATTTTTTTTTTTTATTATACAGCATTCCAGTGTCTTTCCATCCTCCCCTCCCTCTGGACTTTCTGATGAGCCTCAGTCTGGCTCTCCTTCGCCCAGCTACATGTGGTCCTCAAGTGCACCACCTCGTTACTCTCCACCCTACTATCCACCTTTTGAAAAGCCACCACCTTACAGTCCCTAAAGAGAGAATGCCTACTAGCTATTGAGATTATTGTGGCTTTTGTATTTCTGCTTTAGTGGAAGTATGTAGGATATAAAACTTCAAGTGTGATCCTTAATGCATAAAGTTTTACAACAGCCTGCCAGGCTAGGGAAAGATAGGGATGAAGGTTGTTACCAGTGCAAAGGAAGGATGACTAGGCAGAACCCAGCACTTCCAAGCAGAGCAGCTCAAGGTTGGAGTGCCGGCCGAGCAAGAAGACTGTCATGTTTGGACTTGCATTATCCTAGGCTCCACTTCTGTATTGAGCAAGTGTCACTGACATCTGTGTCACTTTATGTAAAGGAGTGTTGTCCTTGGGCCCTTGGCAAATTGCCACTCTAGCACCTTGCTTAAAGTACTTGGCTTACAAGGCCCTATCTTTCCCTACTGATGTTCAGTCCTTAAGGAAAATTTCTCAAGATGATGGTTCCAGTAGACAGAGTTCTGGCTAAGATTTTGTTTGCTTTTTATCTGGATATAAAAAAGCTGCCTATATCTCTTTTTTTTCTGTGAGTATTATAAAAATGGCTGTTGTGATCATTCAGCTCAGCTTTTGTCACTGGTACCTCCTAAAGGGAAAAGTGCAATATTCTGAGGGAAGCAGAATTGTTCAAGCACTGAAATACAGAGCAACCTGTGAATTGTTTTAAGTAGATTTCAGTAATACATCTTATAAATTTAAGAGATTGAGATTCTACTATATGTTGTGTTACTACAAAATACATTTGCTGCAGGAGATATCTTACAGTTGAAAACCAGAGTTTAAAGACACTAGATTAAGTTGGGTTGTAATATGAATTGTTTTACTAATCTTTGTGACTATTTAATCTTTAAATATTGTGCTTCAATCCCAGCAAACCGCACGTATTCTGCACCTCACCTCCAAAAGAATCATTTGTATTTCAATGCCACTGCCCTTATTGGTCCTTTTTTTCTGTTGAGACCAATCATGATAGTGTTAATTCAAGATTATGAAAAGTGTTACAATGTCTCAAGTCTGTAAAACCCCCAAATGTAGCTAACTTGACAAATTTCTAAGTGTTATGGTAGATTTAAAATCCATCTGCCATTGTGGTATTGCAGTTCTTTTAATTATAATACCTTTAAATCAGTAGCCTAATGAGTTAAGAACATTTTGGAATCCATGCCTTTTAGAGTCACCACCTTCACCAAGCTTTTATGCTAATGTGAGAATTGGTTTAAAAGGAAGACTGATAATCCTACCCTTGTATAACATAAAGATGTATGGGCTACAGAAGAGTGCCTAATTAGATAGTTCTGTGAACACAGAATACATACTGGAAAAATTTCCAGCAAATTTTGCCACCTCTCAACGCGATGGATTAGAGGTAGCAGACAAATGCTGGCACTCCATCTACCTTACAGACACCTGACCATCAAAAATCATCAAGGCAAAAGTGCATTATTCGTAACCATTTACAAAATATTGTTTCATTTTCAGCATCATAAATGTTGTCTTATATAGATTCCAAATCTGAAATACTATAATCTTTTTGTGTTATACAAAACTATTATTATTTTTACAGTTCTGAGAATATCAAAATTCTACTGGATATCAAAAAAGGACTAATGACCAATTGACTTACTATACAAATATTAGCTTGTATACTCAATATTTTTTTGCCACTTACACTTTACCTCTTGCTTTAGTAAATGTGTATTTTTAAAGGTACCGTTAGACAGGATAGCCTACATTTACATTTCTTAAAGCGTGAAGATTCTAAGACTCATTTCTATGTATTTTTCTTATTTACAAAATAACTTGACAATATAGATTTTGTAACACTTAATTTAAGCAGTTTTTATTACATTGAACTATATAATGTCCATGTTACCTTAAAAAATATTTGCTGCTTTACTCTTTTGCAAAACATTTGCTGTAATGAAGGAATTTGTATTTCCAGTATATATCTCAACTGCATTTTGTAATTTATGGCTTTAATCCTAATTCTGCTTTACAGTATTGAACTGGGCATGAAACATTAAAATATTAATCCAGAAACTATGTAAACTGGATGTTGCTTAAAATCTGTATCACTGCCATGTTGGGAACCCAGACTGCTTTTGTGATGTTTCAAATAAATAAAACTATCCTTATCCACGTATAGGAGTCCTCACGGTATTTACAAAAGCATACCAAGACCACTAAAGCAACTGACAACACTTACCTCATTTTGACTATTATGGTTCAAGAAATAATGGAACATGACTAACCAACATATAATACCTAATGGAAAATTCTGCCAGGCTGTCATCAGAAATAAGCACTATTCCCACTTTACAAAACTGAAAACCATAGAATACAAAAGCCTGTATAATTACTGAAAGACAATCTTGTGAAAAATGCACACAAGGATCAGAATTAAATCATTTTATTTTTGCCATAAAAAGCTCTATGAACATCAGGTAATGATTAATGAAAAGTAGAACTTAAAGTTGTAACAGATAAAATTGTACAAGTATGAACAACACAGTATTGGGGGAAATGAATACGTTTTCATATGACTGATACAGGCAAGGAAGCCAGTACTGTTAATATTTAATTCTTCAGAATATGTATGCCCTGACAATACAAAATTTCAGCAGTATTTACTGTTTTATGTTTTTGGTACAATGGGAAATATGACTTCATTTCCTCCTTGCGGATGTATGGTGGTGGTGTGGTCATTACGACCAAAATAGTGAACATTAAAAATACTTTTTAAAGTTTTGCAGGATTGCTATAGCATTTTAAAATCTTGCCTAGTTTGAATTTTTGTTATTTCTCTTAACACATTTTCTATTTAAAATAATTCCCATCTAGTATATCTATGAGTAATTTGGCACTATAGCAAATTTGAAGCCAACCTGCTGAAAGTAAAAGAAAATTCAATAGCTGGAAAGCTAAGTATAAAATAGAAAAGCCCCGTAAGTTTAAATTGCATCTTGCCACAAATTTTCAATCCAGTAGAAAAAATTTATCTCAAAAACATATTCCACATAACTCCAAACTTTTGGTAGGCAAACTTCTACAAAAAGAGACCTAGCCAAGCTTGGTGGCTTATGCCTGTAATCCCAGCACTGAGTGGTGCTGAGACAAGGAGGATACAAGTTCAACTTTCACCTGAGCAAGACATTCTCAAATTAAAAAGGACTGGAGATGTAGCTCAGCCCTGGGCTGGATCCCCTGGTAGAGTAGCCCTGGGTCAGATCCCCAACAGTAAAAATTAAAAAAAAAAAAAAAAAAAAGAAAAAAAAAGAAAGAAATCTGAAGACCTTGAGCCATGTAAGTAAGAGTCTTCTGGCAAAACTGCAACTTAACTTTCCAGGTTTCTTCCTCTCCAGAAGATACTTTTAGTAGGCACAGTTTAATACTTTGTATTCAGAATTTACACAGCAAATAACTATATCAGTATTACTCAGACTGGATAGTTTTCCATTATAGAATTAATTCTTATTTTGTCATAATGGACTTGCAGAAACTAGCAAGTTTCATTATGACAAAATCATTGATCTAGCAGTTAAGTCTGAAAGGTCTGAAAGCCCTGGTGGCATCAGTATCATTCTTAGAATTATGTCTAGTTGGTAAAATAATTTTAATGAAAATCAAATTTCCACTGAGAATATTTCAGAGTGCACCTCATTGTCAGAGAATAATGCTATCAATATCTACAGAGAAAGGAAAAATATACTGTGATTCCAAAAATCTGATCCTTAAGGTATACAATAATTTCACATTTTCTAATGGTTTAAGACTCCCAGATTAGAAAATAATAAATGCACATGAACTTGACCTTTGTAAGCAAATAATACTACTTTTCTTTTTCCTTGTATTAATGCAAATACTGACATCTGATCCTCTCTGCTCTCAATTTAAAAAGCACTGACACCAATATCTTAAACTCTTGCATACCATCTGAAAAATGACATAGACATGAGAAATTATGATTAAAGCTTTAATTGAACATCAAGAAATAAGACTATTTTTTAAAATATGTGGTAAGGAGGAAGAAAATACTTATGCTGAACTAACAAATACTTAAGCGAGGTTATGAATGACTAATAACTATGCATAACAATCTTTCAGTATCTATTATTTTTTCCTTTCAAAAATCATTTACAGACGTTCATCAAGTTAATTGTGTCACAAATGCTAGGATATGTATTTGTTCCAATCTGCTTCCTTTTAGTACTAGCATTTGAGTAAGTTTTAACTTTACTTTATAAGTATTTAAGTGTGTCATTCTAAAAGGAAGGTGGCATTTATTGTTGTGACAATAAATGGGAACTGACAAGTCTATATAATATTCCATATGTAGTTTCCAACTGCTATAATAATGTAATGATTTACAGATGGAATGTAATTTATTTTAGAAGGGATAAAAATCCGAAATACTTTGTTGAAAAGTACTAGACCATCATTTCAATGAAACCCCATTACAGAGTCTAATATGAACATTTAAAAATATGCCTGTAGCCTTCAGCCCCAAACACATATCTACAGACAACATTTACAAAGATTCACACATAGTTAGATTATGTGTAAAAACCCATTTGGTAGATTTCAGATAGAAAAGTTTGCAACACTTCAAGGGAATATTTTAAAATATGAACAAAAAGAAAATCTCCGTATGATTCCATTCTGTCTCCATTTAATTCCATTCTATCTCTATTATGATGAGCAGATAAAAATACGTGACAGAACTTTTCATCTCCTCCTGGCTGCATTACAGATGTTTTTATGGTAGTTTTTTGCTTACAGAGACCACACTGCAAAGGCATATAGAGTAGCAAAGTGACCAAAGTCTTTTACAGACTACAGCAAATAGGAGAAAAGATTAATTCAAACTAGCTAAAACTAATTCTTCATATGACAGACTTGTCTGCACAGCTATTTTCATTGGGGTAGGGAGGCGGGTTACTATCCATTTGGACTAGCAGAATACACAACCAAGTGGAGATTTATTCTCAAATTTTCTAGAACAATTTTAGGCATTCTTTACTTTTTATGCCATATACAAGACACAACACAGATTTATAGTCTCAATGTTAAGAAAACTGAAAAATCAGCAGTAAAGTGCTAACATGGAAGAGGAAAGTTTAAAGATGTGCTAGGGTATGCTAGTAACTCATTTTCAAAGAACATTCAGACTGCTTTTAATTCTATTCAGAAAACTATCTCTCTGAGTTTCTTACTTTTGCTTCTTAATTGAGCTGAAAGCTAACTATATAAACATATACTTGAGGGGGGTTTTCAACCTCTACTCAAACTTTCAGATTTGTTTCTAAATATTAACATATAATTCAACTAGACTACCTTCAGATGTGGCAGATCAAGCTGACTTGTTTCACTTTAATTGGTTTTACAGGTCTTCTGAAATCCCTGCCCATTAATCCAAAACAAAACTTTCTGCTATTTCAAAGGAGTTCAGTAAGATTCTGGTATTATAAATTCAAACTCAGTACTGCCATCTGTTACATTCTGTTTAAAAATTGAATCATTTTCCTGCTGAATAAAAATGTCTTCCCAGGTCACTGGCTTGTTCTGAGTAGATGTAGTCCCTACTGGAGGTTCTTTTCCAGCATCAACCTTATAACCAGTACTGCCATCTTTCATTCCAGGCATAGTGCTTGACCTATCAGAAAGGTAGGCATATTGTCTGATCTGTAAAGACTTACATGGATGTAAACGATAAAGCTTTGAGTCACCAGAAGGATCTTGACTGTGAACTGACTTTATGTGTGAAGACATAAACTGATAGTTGATGAAAGACTTGCCACATGCCAAACACTGATACCTACGTTCCCCTGTGTGATGAATTTCATGCTTTGTGCGATATTCTGCAAGGGGAAATACCTTCTCACAGTAGCGACATGGATACTTCTTCTCCCAAGAATGAATGTTAAAATGTCTCCGTAAGCTTGTCAGACAGACATATGACCTTTTGCATACAATGCAGATATAATAGACCCTCCCATCTACTATTAATTCATAATGATCATCATGTTTTACTTTCATACGTTTGGCTGTTGATTCACTGCCAGAAGTTTTTGGTATCTCATTTCCCAGTCTGCCCTCCCCTTCATCAGGGTCATCTTTGACAGGGATTACAATGTCATAAGTATCTTCACCAATATTTGCATAAACCTTGCAACCAGTAGACAAGCCTTCAATTTCAGTAGCTGTATCTAACGTAATGATCTTCTGGCCCTCCATCAGATGTTTTGATCCTAAGCCTGTATCATTAGTGTTTCTAGTAATTATATCTGAAATTTTTAAAGAATTGGAAAGCGGTTCTTGTAGAAATGTAGGAATCTGCATTTTCTGTATCAATGATCCATCAAAAGTGGGATTTTGGGAGGTGTCAGCTTGTGGAACCAATGAAGTATTGCTGACTGCTGAGTCCGGACTGGAGCTGATAGTATCGACATCATCATCATCTATAATTTCCTCTTCTTCTTCCTCATTGGTTTTGTTTCCTGTTAAAACAGCATTATTTGGTTTTTGTTGATTCTGCACAAGTAGGTTGATTGGAGAGGACATATGATTTGGAAGTGAAGAACTGACGTTCGGGGGTGTAGGGAGTGGTGCCTGATTTAACAAAATAATGTTGGGAGTCAGATGCGTTGGAGCTGAAGATACCAGCAGTGTTTCACTTCCCTGTGTCTGGCTCAGAGTTGCCTGATTTGCAGGAGTGGGAAGTTTCTGAGTAGGTGTGATACTTGTTAAAGGGGGAGAATTACTGCTAGTGCAAGGTGCAACATCTGAAATAGCACCAGGGCCTGGGTTAGGCTGGACCTGTGTCACTGTGTTGTTACTTGGCAAAGCCTCCTTTGCAGGCAAAATCTCCGAGCAGAAAATGACGTCATCATCATCATCATCTGAATCAGTAACAATGATCTTTTTCATTTCATAATCTTCAGCAGATAATGAAAAAGACTCTGTTATAATAGGCATTATAGTAGCCCCATTATCCTGGGCTTCATCTTTTGATTTTTGTATTTCAAGGTTTTTGTCACTAGAACCAGGAGGTAAGGTTTCAGCATTACCATCCTGTGGGGTAGCTGAGATACTTTTAACCTGTGACAGTGGGACACCAAGCTCAGCTATAAATTTCACTCCTAATAACTGCCCTGATTTAATTAACTCATCAAGTAAATCTGCTCTAACACGAACAATTTTAGAACTATAAATATAATTGAGAATTTCTGCAAAGATCTCTGCTCTTATAAAGCTCAGTTCCACAACTTGCCCAGCAACTGAGAAGAGTTGATGGAAGTATGTACTTGAAGCTGAAAGAATATTCTTATGAGCCCGGAATTTTCGGTCTTCCACAATAACAGTAACATCACAAAAGAGTCCATGGCCACGTTGCTCATTCAAGGAGTTCAACAGACTGCCAGAGTACTGAATATCAGTTGCAGAAATCAGTTTTCTACTCTCCATGCCTACAAGAGAAGAGGAAAACATGAGGGAGAATTATGAAGAAAGCAGAAAAGGGGTATATCAATCAGAATTTAAGCCACAGAACCATTAAACAGCTTAAGTTTCAACTACAGTTTGCCATAACTTTTCGAATTTTGTATAGAGTTCATATAGGCTGGCTTTTGACCCATGTGCCAGATCTCATGGCTTCCTCCTGAGAAGAGGTAAGTAAATTTTAAGTTGCTATGCAGATTTGAACAGCAAGTCCCACAGTTGCCTTCCTTTGACTCACAGATACACATATCTCTATTAAACAATTTTTAAAGATTAGAATTCATTTTCTTAGTACCAATTTTGGGTTTCTTCCTCAAGAACAGGTAAGGATTAATTTTTCATTGTCTTAAAATTGTTTAAAGGAAAATGTTCATCATGAATGCATAGTAGTTATTCAATCCATAAATGAGTGCTATAAATGTCAGAAAAGCTTGGTATGTTCAATACTTAGTCTGAAATATATATTTTTCCTAAATTTTAACTAATCTTATCATTAAGAGTATATTTAAAAGCTAGTTTCTGCAGTCTAGGACATTTACTAACAATTATCACAATTTTGCATTAAATTGGGGTGCCTAATCTTGATAAACTATTAAACATGATTCTTACCCCTTCCTATATTTCACCTCTTTGCCAGCTCTCTCACTACAAATTCAACAGAGGCTGTCATGAAAACATATTGACAGTGGAAATAGAAAGCATATCACTTCTTAATGCAGATTTGCTTGAAAACCTCAAACACTTCATTTAAAAAAATTTTTTTTAATGTATTTGGTTGTTACAGGGTCTTACTATGCAGCTTGGACTCATAGTGATCCTCCTGCTTTCAGCCTTCCCAGCACTGGGATTACAGGCATATGCATGCCACCACGCCAGGACTCTATAGCTGGCTCAGCCTGCCCTGGGGGCGGGGCTGGCTCTGCAAGTGGTGCCTGGGATCCAACTGCAGTCCCTGTGCCTGCCTAAGCTTGCCTAAGCAAGCGATTTAGCCTGCTGAGCTATCTTGCTAACTCCAAACATTTCATTTTGTTGGTAAAGAATTATGTTCACTGGAGCCAGGGCACAATGGCACGTGCTTGTAATCCTAGAACTCTAGTAGGTTGAGGTAGGAGAATCCCAAGTTCCTGCCTAGCCTAAGCACCTTAGTATCTTACTGAGGCTGTCTCAAATGTCAAGAAATTGAGTGGTTGTGGCTCAGTGATAAAGCCTTGGGTTCAGTCACCATCAATAAAAGAAATGCCAGGCAAGGTGGTGAATGTCTGTAATCCTAGAACTCAGGAGGCTGAGGCAGGAAGATCACTGCCAGTTCCAGTCCTGCCTAGGCTACACAGTGAGTACAAGAGTCAGCCTGAACTACATAGTGAGGCCCTGTATCAAAATAAAAAAGGAACAAAAAATGTATGTTGTTATGAGAACATTTTTCTCACCTACTGGTAGTGCAAATGAAAACTTTAGCTTATTGGAACAGAGGAGACACAACTCTGCAAAGTGTGAGGGCTGCCATTAAGTGGCATTGCTGTGCACAACCTGTAAACTGGGAGTTGAACCCAAGGCACTCATCTGATCTATATCCTCAGCCTTTTAAAAAAGTATTTTATTTTAAGACAAGGTCTTGCTAAATTGCCAAGGATGTGATCGACTTTTCAATCCTCCTGCCTAGCCTATCAAAATGCTGAGATTATAGGCATGCATCACCACACCTGGCTTGAAACACTTTCATTTGCATTTCACAGAAGAGATCTCACACAATGATGCCAGAGTTGTAAACCATCCACATATATTAAAAATTTAATATATATTAACCATCACTTGCTAAGTACCTTGAGTAAAAAGAATATCATTATTTCCCTTTAAAGTTATTCAAAGTATCAGTCACACTGCCTAAAGTTATATACACATGAAAGACAGAACATCTCCAATCTTTTAATTTTTTAAAATTATACTTAATAACAAAAATAGACAAAAACTCTAAAAATCAAGGCTTTCAAACATCTTCAGTTAGGTGCTGCATGCTAAGAATATCAAGGAACTTCAGGTTCCCATAAAGGTATTCAATCAGAATGATTGACCTTTGGACAACGTGCCAGCAACCAGCAATTCCAAAATATGGGGATTTCAACAGAAGTCACGTAAGTGGAAAGGCAGGTTTTCTAAATATGGCTCATGAGTTTTGTCATTGCAAACAGATTTTCTCAATGTGAGAAGGGGTAAAATACACGTGTCCATGCAATGCTGGGACTTTGTTTCGTCTTCTTAGGTGCCCCCCAGCAAGTCTAGGTGGGCCCTGGGTTTGTCTGGGCCCTTCCTCACCCAGCATTTGCGACCTACTGTGAGAAGCCCACTCTATGTCTTTGTGTGACAAACCCTTGACCAAGGGCACGATCCTGGTGTCTGCTGCACAGAAAGAGATAAAAGCCACTGGCCACAGAGTGAAACAAACCAACATGCGGCCCCCTGCGGCAGCTGAACCCCATGTCCTTTCCTCCACCTATCTCTTCTCCATTTGCACTCTGCCAGAGGCAATGCAGGCTTTCGATTCCAATTCAAGCGAAAAGCCGGCTTCTCGCAAAGCCAGATGGAGGTGCAAACAGGAGTGAGTGAATGAGGAGTGAGGGAAAAAGTGGAAGGTGGCAGGCGCTAGGGTGCGGTGCTGGGGAGGGGCGAGGCGGGCGGCATTGTTATGCCCCAGGAAGGGGACAGAAGGGAACGATGGGCCCCGACAGAAAAGCTCCAAATCAAAGTAAGGACTAGGTGGAGGAAAAAAGGCCGCAAAGAGAAGGCAGAAGGTCGAGGGAAACCTAAGTGGGTCCCTGCGGGGGAGGGGGGTGTCCCACGCCCCAGGGCCTACTCCAGGACACTGGCAGCCCTTCGGCCAGGTCAGAGAAGGGACCGCGCTGCGGCCCTCCAGGCTCTTCCCCTCCTTCCCTTCCCGACCCACACAAAGAAAGAGCGGAGAAGCGCAGCCTCAGACGCCGCCGCTTCCTGGTTCAAGTGAGGCAAACGCAGGCGCGGCCCTGGGCCGGGGAGGGGAGGCGCGCTCCCTCGCCCCCTCCCGCCGCGGGCGACCGCCTCACCTGCTCCCTGGCGCCGCCGCTTTCCTCCTCGGCCGCGGAAGTGTGGGAGTCCTCCCCCAGAAGAAGCCGGATTGCCCGGCGCTTGTGCTCCTTCTTTAAACTGTGCTACAGTCTTGGTCGACGTCGACGCGGCTACCGCCTCCGGCCGCCACCAACTGCCACCGCTGCCCCAGGCCGCCGACAGAGGGCACAGCGCGGGGGTGAAGCGCGGAGGCGCCCTCCTCTTCCGAGAGCCGCCCGGGTCTGTCCGGAAGGGCCCGAGCCCTAGGCGGCTTCTCTTCGGCGCTCCGCTCCGCCTTCGGCTCTTTCCGCAAGGGGGCGGAGGAAGACTGGGGAGGTCTGGCAGTCTCGCGTTGAGCTCTTTCCGGAGGGCGAAAGGGTGGGAAAAAGGATAGAGGAAGGTCCTGTAAAAGCAGTGACGAGCAGTCGCAGTGGAAGGAACGCTGGCCTCGTTCCTATAAGTATGCAAAACCTTTTATTAGAGACTATATGCATTTCATTTCTTTTCCACGTGTGAATTGTTTTCTACTAGCCTGGCAGGTGATAAGCCACCTTAAAATACAATCCAAAGAAATGCAATGTATTAACTCATGACAAATCGGGTTCTAGGATAACAAGACGATAGTAAATTACAGTAACCCCCTCTTTTCGCTGATACTGTGGATGAAGGGCAGGGTGTGTGTGTGTGTGTGTGTGTGTGTGTGTGTGTAAAACAGACCTACAGGCAAATGTGGTGCATAACTGATCCCAGCACTTGGGAGGCTGAGGCAGGAGGATCGCTGCGAGTTAAAGATCTGCCTGGGCTACAGAGTGAGTTTAAATCCAGCCTGAACTGCATAGTGGGACCCAGTCGCAAAAAGACACGACAAACAAACAAACACCACTGACATACAATCCTGCCCCCTTTTTAATATTTTGAGCCACCATAGGTTAGTACTGTTATTGAAACTAAAATGTCTTTTAAATAGTTTACCATGGTAGTAGAAGCCATATATATATATATATTTTTGGTCTTTTTGCTACAGGGTTTCACAATGCAGTTGAGTCTGGCCTTGAGTTCACTTTTTAGACCAGGGTAGTCCTGAACTCACAACGATCCTCCTGCTTCAGCCTACCTAGTGCTGGGAATGAAGCCATTCTTAATAAGGGATTTATTACTTTTCAGTAAGTTGGAAGACACAGTATTCTTTTTTTTTTCCGTAATTTTATTGAGAAACAAATAGCAATGAGACAGTTTCAAACCAAATAGGTAGGACAGTTTCAACAAATAACACACTGCATATATTCTTCTTAGTGGTTAATTGCTGTACAAGACGCGGACTTGAGATCCTATTTA